AGAGTACACAACAATTTTTTACATTTCCCTCAATGGAGAGAGATGCTTTTAGTCTTCAGGATGGTGTAGTTATGGCATCTACCAGAAGGGGCTAACTGACCCATGGTAACCAGCTAAACCTTGACCTCTTGGTAAGGAACCTTGGACTCTGTGAACAATTAAAGATGTGTTATTTTAGCCATTTTGAAAGCTAGCCAATTAGCAACATTCTCAATCTTTTGAATGTTGATGTTTGCTGGTATCTGTTTGGCTAAGATATCTTTTGATGGTGGACCTTTGGAGTTGCTTACAGCACTTTTTTTCAGTGTTTGCTCAGATTTTCTGTCAGAGATCTCAATATGAATCATTTGAAATATTGCCTATATGTATCCATTTTTATATCTCCAAAGTTGACTCAATTAATACCACTTAACAGCTACCACTTGACAGCTATCACTGAAATAGATGTCTTGATAAATCACACCTGCTTCCGTGTTTGGCTAAGATATCTTTTGATGGTGGACCTTTGGAGTTGCTTACAGCACTTTTTTTCAGTGTTTGCTCAGATTTTCTGTCAGAGATCTCAATATGAATCATTTGAAATATTGCCTATATGTATCCATTTTTATATCTCCAAATGAGTTTTAGGAGAAACATTTGAGACAAAACTGATATGTCCATACTTTTGAGCAATAACATTCGGTTCCTGCTACTGCTGGATGAGACATTCCTGCCTTTTAACGTCCATTATGATGTAAGGTCACATGTCCATCACGGTGCATGAACGCAGAAATGCTTTTGTGCATGCATCAAAGCATGGCCTTTCAGCCTACTGTATAACAGACTGTTCACATCTGCTAATGCAACACAGATATAATTATGAAACTTGCATCTACTCTCTTTTCTGTGCACTATACCTGCCTGAGGCATCTGGAGATACTGTGTGATTTATTTTTAGCACTGTTTGGAGCGCAGCGATGTGAATAATCAGTGTTTCTCCTGTTGGGCTGCGTAATGACAATGTGAGACTGATCCATCAGTGGCCTGATCCTCATGTGCACGGCACACATCAGCACCCACAGCCCACGAAAGAATAGTAACACCCTCTCAGAAGTGTGCTAGCCAATGACACCCAGCGTTTGTGATGGAGAACATGAAGAGGCGCCTGCAGCGTTTGTGTCTGTGATGTCAGAGGGTGCTTAGGATGCTAACTGGTGCATGTGCTGAAATGGATGCATTTGAAGAACAGCTTTTAATTTAACAAAGCAAATGTTACCAACGCAATTACTGTATTCTAGAAATACTTTAATTTTCACAACCCAAAGCCTCCTTCCATGTTCATTCAGAACGTTTATTTCAGCTAAACTCCAAAACGGGACGTTCAGAAATCATTAACCATGCGCACATTCAAAGGAATAGTTCAACCAAAAATTAAAATTAGCTGAATATTTACTCTCCCTCAGGCCATCCAAGATGTACATGAGCTTTTTTTGTTCATCGGAAGGAATTTGGACTTGCTCACAAATGGATCCTCTGCAGTGAATGGGTGCCGTCAGAATGAGAGTCCAAACAGCTGATAAAAACATCACAATAATCCACACCACTCCAGTCCATCAATTAACATCCATAATATTGCTTTATACAGTGAAAAAGTCATCTCGTCTGAATCAGGAGAGAAATATGCACAGATCTAGCACCATTTACAAGTGAAAACAGTCCAGTGCATTCTAAACAAATATGTCAGTCAATTCTGATGTGAGAGGACAACATGAGATTAGACTTTTTCAATGGAGGAGGCGTTATTATAGACTGTTTTGGAACCAGAAGTGTAGTTAAAATGTCTTAATGATGGAGTTTTTGGCTTCACAAGATGTTAATTAATGGACTGGAGTGGTGTGGATTACTTGTGGATTATTGTGACGCTTTTATCAGCTGTTTGGACTCTCATTCTGACGGCACCCATTCACTGCAGAGGATCCATTGGTGTGCCAGTGATGTGACGATTACTGTTTCATTCATTTTATTTTGTGTCACTCCTAGTCCTCAATGTTCAATTCATATTTAGTGTCTCAGCCTGTTCTGACAGACGTATGTAGGTGGTAAACAAAAGATAAATAAATAGTATAGGTATTAGTACGTAAGGACAGTAGGTTGTATGTTCTCTTTAGTTTTTATGCTTTGGATAAACACTAACATATTGTACCTTGTGTTAAGTTGGCATAAAGTCACTCCACATATTCCCTGCAGCTAAATAATTTCATATTCTATCTCTGTGAAGTTTTTAGCTGTTGTCATGAGTAGTTTCTTACGTGGTGGAGTGTGCTGTTGAACAGGGCAGCGCTGGGAAGCTCCTCCAGCTCTCCAGGACTTCTTGTCAGGACAGAGCTGGATGTGACAGGCTATTTCCAGGGCGGAAAAGATTTCAGCTGGCTTACTGTCAAGTGGGGAGCCCAGCGCGCTGTAGTGAACGTGTTGCATGGTCCGGTGGTGGGGATACGGCTCAGAGCAGCGGCGCAGTACTGTGCATGCTGTGCTTGTTTGAGTCACTTTGTGGCCTGCTGTCATGTTCAAGAAACAGTTCACCTTGAAATGGAAATCCTGTCATTATACTTATCTCATAAGTTGAATCAAATGGACTACTTTTGTGTTTTTTCTTTTATGGTGCTTATTGGATCAGATTTTATTTTGGGGTTGACTAGTTTTTATTTTTAAATTTTAAAGCTTTCTGGTCACCAAGGCTATATTTATTTGATCAAAAATACAGTAAAAACTGTATTATTGGGAAATATTAAAATAACTGTTTTCTGTGTTAAAATATTTTAAAATGAAATTTATTTCTGTGACAGCAAAGCTGAATTTTCAGTCTTCAGTGTCACACAATCTTTCACAAATCATTCACAAATCATTCTAATATGCTGAAAATAGTGCTGCTTAATATTTTTGTGATTAATTTTTAAGATTCTGTGATGAAAATTTTTTTCAAAAGAACAGCATTTATTTGAAATTTATTTTTTTGCTAAATAAAAGTATTTCTTTCTTTCTATTTATTAAACAAAAAAAAATACTGCCTTGGATAAACACTAACAAACAGGGTTATTATAGTTAACTAAAACGAAAAATAACAAAAATAAAACCATAAAATACATTTTCATTTCTTGAAATAAAAAAAGTTAATTGAAATAAAATATAATATATAATAAATATATATATATTTTTTATTTCAACTAGCTGCCATGGTACCATTTTTTATTTTTTTATTTAGTTTAACTTGTATTGAAATAACAAAAACTGTGCATATATATA